AATCCCTATTCAAAACATGCCACTGAGATAACTGGCTCACCATAGGCCGAAGATTGAAACTGGACCACTTCTTTACACCGTATACAAGACCCACTTAAGATGGAACAAAGACTTAAATATAAAACCCAAAACTATAAAAACCCTAGAGGACAACCTAGACAATACCATTCTGAACGTAGGAACAGGCAAAGGTTTCGTGATGAAGACACCAAAATCAATCACGACAAAAGGAAAAATTGACAAATGGGATCTAATTAACTTAAGAACTTCTGCACAGCAAAAGAAATAATCAACAGAGTAAACAGAAAACCTACTGAATGGGAGAAAATATTTGCAAACTATGCATCTGACAAAGGTCTAATATTCAGAATCTACAAAGAACTTAAACAAATTTACAGGAAAAAAAAAACAAATGACCCCATTAATAAGTGGGCAAAGGACATGAACAGACTCTTACCAAATGAAGACATTCATGTAGCCAACAAACATTTAAAGAAGAGCTCAACATGGCTGATCATTACAGAAATGCAAATCAAATCCACAATGATGTACCATCTTACACCAGTCAGGATAGCTATTATTAAAAATTCAAAAAATAATAGGTGCTGGAGAGGTTATGGAGAAAAGGTAATGCTTATACACTGTCGGTGGCAGTGTAAATTAATCCAACCATTGTGGAAAGCAATATGGTGATTCCTCAAGAAGATAGAAACAGAGCTACCACTTGACCTAGCAATCCCATTACTGGGTATATGCCCAAAGCAATATAAATCATTCTACCATAAAGACACATACAGGTGTATGTTTACTGCAACACTATTCATAATAGCAAATAAATGCAATTAACCTAAATGCCCTGAATGGCAGATTGGATAAAGAAAATGTAGTACATATATACCATAGAATACTATGCAGCCATAGAAATAGCAAGATCATGTCCTTTGCAGGAACATGGATGGAGCTAGAGGTCATTATTCTTAGCAAACTAATGCAGGAACAGATAACCAAATACCACATGTTCTCACTTATAAATGGGAGCTAAATTATGAGAATACATGAACACTACGACAGGAAGAACAGACACTGTAGTGTACTTGAGAGTGGAAGTTTGGAGGAAGGAGAGGATCAGAAAAAATAACTACAGGAAACCAATATAACAAGCCTACACATGTACCCCTGAACTTAAAAGTTTTTTTAAAAAGGGAAGAAGATTGAATTTTTAGTCAGGAGATCTATTTATGAATCTATTAATAAATTAGATAAGATTTTAATTTAAAAAAAGGAAAACAGTTTGATGGGAATGTTAGGAACAAAAACTTGATTGGAATTGCTTAAGGGAGAATGTGAAGAGAGGAATTTGAAATAGAAAGCAGAAAACAATCCTTGCAGGAGCTTTGCTCTAATGATGAGAGTGTGCAGAGAAATGTAGGTCAAGATTTTTCTTTATTAAAATAAATTATAGCATCTTTATGCATTACAGTGACCAAAGATCAGTAGGCAAGTGCAATAGCAAGAAGTAGAGGGCAGTATAGTCCTTAAACATGGTATTCAAAGAAGAGCATTTTTTTTTTTTTTTTTTTTT